TTTCTGGGAGCAAAGTATTTTCAAATATCTAAGGTGCGAACCTGAGGATCATTATTTTCTTTTGGTGAGTAGTAAAATTTTATAAATGAGATTTCTGATTTTTGATTAATTCCCCTCTTAGCATTGAATTAAAGGATATTTAACTATCGCATTGTGCTGAATAATGATAATAATAAATAACCAGACGGAACCACCACTCAATGCACCCGAAAATCGAGAACAAACAGCTGAAATTATGTTCGAATCTTTCAACATCCAAGGACTTTACATAGCAGTTCAAGCTGTTTTAGCATTGGCTGCTAGTTGGGCTTCCAATAAGACGTCTGATTTCGTATTAACCGGTACTGTCATTGACAGTGGAGACGGTGTTACTCATGTTATTCCGGTGGTATGTCTAGATATTCATTACAATGAGTATGACTTTTTTTTTTTTATTGGAAAATGTCTTTAAATATTATTATTAGGCCGAGGGTTACGTAGTAGGATCGTCAATTAAACATATACCAATTGCTGGTCGTGATATCACATATTTTGTTCAACAACTTCTTCGTGATCGGAATGAAACTTCAATCCCTCCCGAAGACTCTTTGAAAGTGGCAGAACGTATTAAGGAGCAATTTTCATATGTTTGTCAAGATATTGTTAAGGAATTTAAAAAATATGACCAAGAAGGCGACAAATACTTTCAAAAGTATCACGGAGTTCACAGCGTTACGGGCCAGGTTTATCTTTGTCTCTTATTCTTGTTCCTTTTTTTTTATTTTTTATTTTTACTTCGCCGACGTCCTAGGTATTACTTGACGCGATTTCTTTTTTAATAATAGCCATATGAAGTTGACGTTGGGTTTGAACGTTTCTTAGGACCGGAAATATTTTTCAATCCTGAAATTGCATCATCTGACTTCTTAACACCCATTCCTGAAGTTGTGGATAACGTTATTCAAAGTTGTCCGATTGATACTAGACGTGGTTTATACAAGGTATTTTGTTTTCCTGGTTTTTTCCATTGCACAGGTTTTAACTTAAGGTTAAAATCCTACAATAGAATATAGTTCTTTCTGGCGGTTCGACTATGTTTAAAGATTTTGGTAAACGCCTACAACGAGATATAAAACGTGTGGTCGATGCACGTGTTAAAAGAAGTGAGGAATTAAGCGGTGGCACGTTAAAGGTACTGCAAAAAATGTTTAATTTTTATAGCTCTCAAGATTTTGGCCATTAATCTATTTGTTATTGATATACATGTAGGCAACACCAATAGACGTTAATGTAATCTCTCACAAGAAACAGCGTTACGCGGTTTGGTATGGAGGCTCTTTGCTTGGGAATACGGTTTGTGGTTATTTCTCAGGTTTACGGCTCAAATTTATTTTAAGATGCAGCATGTATATTGATTATTACTTAAATTTTCCGTTTGATATATAGTCGGAATTTTACTCTTATTGTCACACGAAAGCAGAATACGAAGAATATGGACCGAGCATCTGCAGACATAATAGAGTTTTTGGGTCTATGAATTAGTTTATATATTTAATGTTTACATATGATTGTACTTAAAAATAGGAATTTTTATTTATCCCAATAAACATAATGCACATAAAATTTATTTTATTAATTTTAGTTTTGCATTCTAAGTTAAATTATTTCTAATTAATGGGTAATTATTTTTGAACCCAACAGATTAAAAGATACAGAAGCCCACTTAGCAAGACCCGAGTAAAGAGGTAGCACAAACTTTTGATAGTATTATATAAAGGATCATTATCTAAAAAACTGGAAAACCAAACAAGATTAAAGTGTTTAGTAAAAGCACTTTACCAACCAGGCTGCCAGGTATTCGAAAAAAGGATATTGCCTTTTTAAACTATCTGAATTAGAAGTTTGAAGCAACCAAAGGTATAGCAGATAGTTTATAAAGTATACAGTATATTGGGTTTGGATGAACTTTATAAAGGCAGAATTAAGTAACAGTAGTAGCTTTGGTTTACAAATACTTGTTTTTAGATTCAGCATAAGTTACTAAAGTTTAGACCAACTGGATTGTAGATATGAAAAGTTTTAGCAATAATGTCTTAAAGATAAAGTAGTTTTAAAAGTAATGGTTAGCATTTAACTGATAATTATAATAGAGATGTATTGGTGATACAAGTAAAGTTGCATTATAAAAGGTTTAAATAGATAATATCTATAGTTTGGATTACAGATATAGCATTTAGTATAGAACCTATAATATACTGTAAGTTGTAGGCATATTACTTCAATTAGACACCAAAAGTATATATATAGCTAGTTATATTTTTTAATATAAGAGGTTTTATTAAGACTCCTCTCTCTTAACAATATTTGAATAAAAATCTAAGTCCAAAAAGGTTAGTTAATAAAAAAAAATAAAAAAAAATATTATTTAACTATAAATAATAATTTATTATTATATTTTAAGTTATTTTTTATCAAAAAACACTAAAATTTTAAGAGTATTGCTAATTTTAACTAAGGAAAAATTACTAATATGTAATTAGCCAATAAAATTGCAGAATCAGGTGTAAAATATAAATTAATTTTGTATAACAAAAACAAAGAATTTTTTAAAAAATTGCAAATAACAAAAAAAATTCTTTGCTAAATTTTGCATATAATTTATATTGAGGTTGTGATCTTTTTACTCTAAACTAAAAGAAAAAAATTCTATTTATTTAATAGACAAATCATAAATCATTTGAATAAAATATTTTTTATATATGGGCTAGGTGCTGAGAAAAGGGACCAAATTAACAAAAAAAAAGATTCTCAGAAAATCAATTTTTATATTATAAATTTTATAATAAATTATAAGAAAATGCAAACTTTAAAGAGCTATACTACAAAATTTTATTAATATAATTACTTTTGTATCTTAAATAAAAAATGATTCTAATCTTATTCTAAATTGATTTATATAAAAAAATATCTTTTGAAAAAATTGTCAATTTGGTCCC